CATTTTCCAGAAAACCAATTACAGCAAAACAAACAGACCCTTAATGTTGAGGGATGCAAGAGAGTGGAGACTATTCGATCACGTTTAGTAGAGTTATCCGTAGCCTGCTTTAAGCGATAAATAACTTGGTATCGTTTAAATAAGTCACAAGTTCGAGTCCTTATGTATGCAAAAAAATCGTTGTTGGGAGACTCATCTATCAAAGTCATATGGATCCGGGTCGGTCCAGATTAGTCAAGGTGAAACCTTAGAAACTGAAAGGACAACCGAAAAAAAATTAGTAGAGCTAATAAATTTTTTTAATCGTCAAGTTAATAAGTTTATTTTAGGATTTAAATTTTATTTGAAGTTTTTTAAATTTAAACTCAAATTTAATTATAGATATCTATAATATTTATAATGTGGAATGAATTAGTCCAATTTAACAACTTTTTATAATCATTTAATTATTTTTTTCACATTGCAATATTATATAAAGTATATAAATGGTACTCTGACTATGAGGAGTTACTTTGTTGAGTCATTGACTATTAATATTTACACATATGTGTCCTTTTCAGTTAAAAATTTGGCGACAATTTGAGTTGTACATTAATCTGCTGACTGAGATATAATGAAATATGATCTCATAATCTCAAATGACTATCATATCTCAGTCAACATGTTAACATTCAACTCAGCTGGCCATTAACTTTTTAATAGAAAAGAACGAGTTTGAAATATAATAAATTATCGAGTGACTATTTTATAACTTTTTTTAGTCAAGGGACTCAACAAATCAACTCTATAGTAGAGAGACCATTTTATAACTTTTAATAATCAAAGGACTCAATAAAATAGTATCTTATAGTCGGGGACCATTTGTGTACTTTACCCTATTATTTAACCGATCAAGTATCATCTAAAATTATAAAATATGTTCACAAATTTACTTTTTTTAAAAATGTATTTTTGGGAGAAAGCATCAGTAAGAGTACGAAGGAGTAAAAAATTACATTAAAAATCAAATATGGACTTAAAATGTATTTTTTTAAACATGTTTACTATAAATATTTTATAGTATCGGAGGAACATACGATTCAAATTCGATAAAAAATGGACTTAAAATGACAGGTGAATAAGGAATAAGAGGAATTGGGAATAAATATTTGAGTTAGTTGAGTTGATTCAAGTAAAAATGAATTCGAGTTATTCTAATTGACGAGTCATACTTTATCATTCAAATTTTATTTTAAAATTTTTTCGAATCGAATTGAATTTATGAAATTTTAATTTAGTCGAGTCGAGTCAATTTTTTTAATCGAATTGAATTTTATTCACTCTTATAAGAATACAGTGTGGATGTTGTTCATCTCTCTAGCCTGACGCATACACAAACGCTGAATGAAACATCGTTGTTACAAATACAACATAACTTTTTATAGGACTCTCACTTTATACATTAACCAGAGGACATGGTTTGGTTTACAAGGCATCAAACAAATATGGCTTTACAAAGGATGAATACTCGATCTTTAATCACTCACCGAACGGGGGACTCGCGTCCCGAATCCGATCTTCTCTTTCTCGACTCTGTTATCCGATCGTCGATGGTTTACAATCAGTGAGAAACAGCATATAAAGCTTGAGTAAAGGAAAAGGCCAAGAAAAAGAAAAGTGAAATTGCCTAAGCAACTAAACAATCATTTCTTGTCCCACAAGATTGGAACCTCAAACATGGCTTCTAGTGCCAGTGCCTTCAAAATGTGTAAGTATCCTATAATGGGGTGACAAACAATAAGAAAAGATAGTGTAGGACTTACGTTGGGGCCAGTTTGCCAAGAGTGTATAACTCTATGCCGGAGTCTTCGTCGAAAACTCATCCCAAGAACTCGATAATGTAGCTTTTATCTCTTGCAGTTGGAAATCCTTTGACAGCTAGTAGTTCCAAGTCTTTCTGATGCAGTTCTCTCCCATTTATTAAGACAACTGTGTTTCCAGCAGCACAGTTTTTCGCCATAGGGTAATCGAATTCTTCGATGAACGGCTGCAAGATAAAAAAGCAAGAAACATCAAGACCATAGCATGAACGATGTTCTGCCTGCAATAAAAGTTCTAAGAATCAACTGATCTCACAGGGATTATGCCAGAGCATGATTGTCCCATTACACCCCAGAATCCGGTTCGAGGATCATACCTTTCATAGCCAGATTAAAAGAAATATCATCACTACCTCATACAAAGAAGAGCAAATGATTCAATTCTTGAGTTTAAAACATGTATGTAATATTCTAGGAGTCTGATATTGCTCAACTGATGCATGCTTAGAAGGAAATGCATGAATTACCAGTAATTTCCCGGATGAATTGGCCCGGCTCGCTTTTCAGTCTCCTTAACGGCATAATCAGATATTGGCTGTCCGTTCACCGAAACATTAGGCCGTTCATTCCTGATGTTATCATTGGATTTTGAGAAATCTCTGAAGCTTTTCTATGGAAGGCCTACTAAAAATGATTTGCTCCCCTTGTGGAGTTTCAGTTGGTTTTGCTCTTTGTTTGCTTCCGAAGAGTCTCGAGATGAACTTGAACTCCGATATCCATTGAAAGAAACCCCGCCTCGGTTGTAGTAGTTTCTATGAAAGTTTCTGTAGGAGGAAAAGGCTGCTATGGAAAAGCAAAACTGCTTGTGTTCTCATGTACGAGTTCTTGTATATGTAAAAAAGTTTTGTTGGGAGACTCACCTACCAAAATCAGGTGTACGACCCAAGTCGGTCCAGATTAGCCAGGGCTAAGTCTTAGAACAAGAGGGCAACAAAAAAATTACTTGCTTTCATTGGTTTGAAAAAAAATGGCATTTCTTTGTTTCAAACAATTTTTGATTCATTTTTTTATCATTGATTTTTAAAATTATTCTCAACATCCCATTAAATATGTTTTTGTGACAATATCATCCAACAAAAGTTGAAACATTCAAATCACTCACTCTCTCATTAGAAGGCTTGAATGTAGATTCGTTGATCGCTGATGCTACTTAGCAAGCTTCCCTTGTGCTGCAAAAATCCCTGGCAGGGGCTTAAGCTTCCATGGTGTTTAGAGATTTAACATGGAAATTTGGGTACTTTGGAAGGCTCTCGAACTTCACACTTTTTGTGCCCAAGTACTCTTTTATAGCTTGGATGAGAATTTCATCTCCCAATAAAAGATGTCCACGTTTCAGGTGATATCCAACCAAATGACAACTGCTCGAGCTAACTGTCCCAATCCAGAAGATTCTCCTAACCGTCTAGAGCTTAGACGACTGCTGCAACATCTGCTCAGCATTTCCTGCAATGCTAAGACATCAATGTAACAGTTTTCAGCAGCAAAAATAATTTTAGCCTTTGACAACCCACAATGCTCCTATCAAGCAAAATGTATAAAACTAAGTAAATTTAATCCTAAAATGCTCCTAAACATGCTCAAATTCAAACTAAACCTAGGCGCAAAAGGCTACAAAAGATAACTCTTTTAGAGTGTTATCAGTTTGCTCCTTGAACCATTTGAAAATGCCATGACATTTTACATTTACTAATGTTTTTTTAAATAAAACACACATTTTTTTATTTAGTTATTTTAATATTACAGTTATTTTAACTATTTTTCCACGTTTTCTTTTAGAGCAGTATTTTGTTTCATCCATGATTAGGGGACGACTGAAGAAGCAAGGACAAAAAGAACGACATGCCCTAATTTTGAGCTTTGGGCGGTAAAAGACAAAAATGGGGAAAGTTACTTTTTCATTTTCAAATTTTAACTCTTTATTTTATTTCTCTCTCCACCTTTTCACCTCTCCATTATTACATTCACCTTTTTATCTTCATCAAACCCCTTCCACACATTTCCCATATTAAATACCCCAATCATTTTTTTACTTTATTACTCTCTGCCCCATTTGTTTGTCTTCAACACTTCTTCTTCTTCACTCTTTCAAGGTCGAAAACCCCATAACCAAAAAGCTTCAAGCTTTTCACTTTCTTCTTTTTCTACTTGAACAACTATGGTGCAATCTCGTCCAGTAAATACTAACCCTCCTTTTCCCCAGCAATTTAAGGATGATGCAACAAAATAACGTTTCCAAAGCATTAAAAACCAAAAGGTTTTCTTTGAGTAAGGCTTTTTCTTCTGCGGTGACAATAATGGTGACTTACGGCTAGACGTGATGGACGTGGTCACTAGGCATAAATGGAAAAAATTCACAAGGCATTAGGGGAATGTAAACATTTCTCTTGTCAAGGAGTTTTATGCGAACATCTCCAACCCGATGCAATGATCTGTCTATGTGAGAGGTAAAAATGATCATTTTTCATCTTTTACGATTAACTGCTATTTTAAGTTGTAGGGTGTTGTCGATCAACATACAAAGTTTGAGAAAGATGTCGACTATGAGACATATCAAGGTGTATTGGAGGATCTGTGATTTCAAAACACCAAGTGGAATGGTAAGCAAATGAGTCGGCGCACAGCGGATAGAGGCTGACTTCAACCGAAGGCTAAGTTATGGAACTATTTCATGAAGACCAAGTTGATGCCTACATCCCACAACATAACGGTGTCGCTACCCCAGATGATGTTGTTGCATTCAATGCTCGTGAGACGCACGATAGAAGTTGGGCAGGTGACCGTGGAGCAAGCACATGCATGCTTGAAATGACCGACAAGTGCTTTGGTCTTTCCAAATCTCATCACCGCACTTTGTTGAAAGAAGGGAGTTATTGAGGATAGATTTGATGAAATATTACCTAGATTGAAGAGCATTATAAAGGTAAAGATGATCATGCTATTAGGATTCAATGAGGACAAGCCCGAGGATAATTTGAAAGCTGGTGCAAAGATAAATGTCTCGGTAAGATTAACTACTGCTGTCGAGTCTTCCAGGCAGACGAGGGAACAACCTGAGGCTTTATCGGGCGATTTCCAAACATATTTTGCTTATGTTAAGCAACAAGACGCATTGATAGAATCATACTTCAAGGAGATACTCCCTTAGTTGGCCAATGATCTCCATGCTTTTCCGGATTCCATCTTGCCAACATATAAAGATGTCACAACATTCCCAGAAGACACACCGCCACAGGATGTTGACCAATCCACCATGAGGCCTGAGGAAGATGAGCCCAAGAAAGACCCCCAGTTATAAACCCAAGATGAGCCAAAACAATCCATACAGACATCCGCTACTGTTGAGGAGCCCCACGGAGAGATACCCAAGCAAACAGAATTGCCGCAAAAATCTCCTCCATACAGGACTAAACAACGCCTGAAGAATCTTGTGGGGCATGTGGAGACTCTAACCACCAAGAAACCTAAACACATTCAATCCCCACCCACTGAGCCAGTATCAAACTCAGAATCGAGCTCACCCCCATTGAATAGGCGTACTTACTGCAACGCAGCTATAACTTAGTTTTTAACGTAGTTTATTTTATGCATTGAGGATAATGCATCCCTCAACTTTTTATGAAAGAAAGCTTGAATACCTTAGTGTGTATTAATGAAAATGAACTTAATTGCTTAAATTAAACTCCCTTATGTTTGTAAATTGTGGTTAATTGTGAGTAAATGTTTAGGCATAACTGTAGATGGACACTCCTCTTTTCTATGACATTGCCTGGATACTACGTTTCAAATGACAGCTATAGCATACGGGTGAATGAAAGTAGTCACGAGATGACTCTACCTGACTAGCTCGGGGATGGAATGTTTTCTCCAATTCATCTAAATTGTGGGATGGTAGTTGTGATAGGTTGACTCCCCTTGTAGCAGTGTAAAAAATATTATTAGTTATGTTAAAATTTTAAGGAAATGAGAGTAATGAACTTGTGCTTAAATTTGAACACATGTTGTGGTAGGATAATAGACTTCCTTAGAATTTTTCTAACTTAACTAAGTATAGATTGGATATAATCACGCACACACACTTGCAAAAGACCTTTTCCTAGAGTAATATTCTTGAAATCTCCACTTGTCTAGCTTGTTGAAGCCTATACATTTCTAAGGGCTGAAACTTATCCCATATGGTTGTTTTGAAACTGAACTTTGCCATGACATTTTTCTTTTGCTAACTACTATCCATTGCTTGAGGATAAGAAATAGATTAAGTTTGGGGGTGTGATAAATTTGTAAAAAGACTATATTTAGGGCATTTTCACATAAGTTATTGGCTATATTAAAGCACATATAGGTTCATATAGATGCATTCATGAGCATACTAATTTCATTTAGTGGTATATATTTGTTGTGGCATATTATTTTGTAAATGGCATTGTTTTACGGGGAAGGTTGTGTTTTACTGATTATGTGTAGGTTGATGAAGCAAAGAGTGAGCATGGAGAATTGCCGTAGAATTTCTAGATGGTGAGAAAAGGAAAATTGCCAAGGCAATTTGGGAACCATGAGGAAAATGTCACGATGGCTAGGATGACATTTCTGTGCGCAGAGAAAGAAAAAAGAATTGAAGATATTTTCATCAAAGTGCCAGTTGTCCAGCACTCACATGATTTCTGCTGCTAACCACCTAAGAGTGGACCACTACCAACTTTGTACCCATTTTCACGTGAGGGGAATGTACTCTATGGTACTATGGGAATTTTTGAACTAAAACCTAGGACATTCCCTTAGTATAAATAGAAAATGTGGCCACAAAAAATGTAGAGGATTCTTTTAGGGGGAAATTAGGTAGGCAAGAGTGAAATGGGGGCTACAATCTTCTATTTTTCTTCCCCCTTTCATATTCTTCGTGGTATCCTCCATAGCCAAGAACAAGGGAGTGGCGAAACGTTCGAGAGAAGCTAGAGTCGTTAAGGTGGTTTGTGGTGGTCCGAGGAGCAACCGACAACACGCGTTAGGAATTTCCTCCACCCTTATGTTTTTACTTTCATTTAATTTATTGGCTTGTATAGAACGAATTATTTTCATGGATGATTCGAACCCCACAATGAACTAAACCTTATTTGGTGTGGGTTATTATGGATGCTTAAGTGTTTGCTTTAATGAATGATTTGAGTTTTTATGTTTTATCTATTTGATTTGCTCATTGTGCTTAATTACTTAGGATTGTAAGAGCTATGATATTAATCATTTCTTAGCTTCAAATCTTAGTGTTCGAGAGAAACTAAATGAAAGATCATTAGTGTTTGATAGAAACTAAGGGAGGATTAACGCGAGCAATGAGTTTTAGTTGCTAACTAAGACCTAATCTACCTTATAGATAAGGATAGTATTTCAATGACTAAACGGATTAGTGTTTATTCGATAGGTTCTATGTTACTGTTTACGCCGAGAGGTATTGCCTTGGCATTTTTCTGTCAGGTTCCATGACTAGAGATAGCATAGGGACACTCTTAGTAAACTCTGTCGAGCAAATAGACCATAAAAACTTGAATCATTCTGAGAGGTAAGGCTTAGGATTCCTTTGTATCCCTATCATTCATTCCCATTGTAGCTTGTTTATTGAGGATTTTTAAGTCTGCTTATTTATTTCCAAATTCTCAACTCACTTTGCCTTGATATTTTTAGTTGTTTACATTTCAAACAAATCTTCATTTGCCATGACATTTCCATCTACTACACATCTCAATTTGCTATAACATTTCCACGATACCATTGAACCCCCATCCACATACATTCAATTTTGCCACAACATTTTCACTTGTGCATATTATCACACTAACTATACTTAGATAATTTAGTATTCATGCTTTAACTTAACTTGCAATTGCCTCTAATCCTTGTGGAGATGATACTCATTCACCCTATATTACTTGTTTGATTGTGTATACTTGCACAATTTTTACGTTCAATTTATAATACTCATAACAATCGGCATCATATTAAAAAAAATTATCCCCTAATACCACATTTCATATCATATTTCAAAACTTCTAATTTTTTATTACACTATATTACTTTATCAATTAATGTATGTATATCTATCTATCTGTTAGTAAGAAAACGTCAGGAAGAGCGAGGACTTACGATCTTCTTCAAGAGTAGTTTTATGTATCTATCTTGTGAAGTGGAAACTTCCCCCTCCATGTTATGTGAAGATCAATCTTGATGGTGCTTTTGAGCCTACTGAATGTATAAAGACTATGGGGTTATTGCCCGAGGTTCCGTTGGCTAGGTACTTGGCGGCAGGGCTGCATCATCACTATGTTGTGTTAAAGCTAGGCTTTCATAGATTCATTCTCTTAATTTAGCACTTTCTTTGGCGAGTGAGTACCAGTGGACGCATGTAATCTTTGAATTGGGCTCAATGCTTGTAGTTAGCAAGATATTTCAATCGAAGGAGGACTTGTCCACGTTGGGTTATCATCTTTGGGAAGCTCTTTAGTTTTTGGATGCTAATTTAAAGTACGAAGTGTGTTTAATTCTTGGAGTTTGTAGTACTGTGGCACATACTTTAGCTAAGTGGGTTTTCTGTACTCAAAATGCCTTGTATTTTGACTTGGTCTATCCGTAGACTATTACGTATGTTGTATCCAATGACACTTTTGGTAATACAAGATCTTAGGGCACTCTTTTCCCCTTATAGATCTTAGAATAGGTTTTTAATGAAACATGTTTTCTTAAAAAAATTAAGCTATGTATATGCCAGATTTTCTTATGTGACCAAGAAAACTGTTTACCTATTTTCCAATGAATGACCATTTCGAAAGCTTTCCCTAAATTTTTCCAAAAAAAAAAAGAAAAGAAAAGAAAATGCGAAAATTCATTTCTTGAAGCAAATTTATTCACATCTCACTCTCGATCTAAACAAACTTAAGAAGAAATGTTATTTCTTACCATTCCTCTATCAACAGATTACAACTTATAGGAAAGGGTTAGTACAAAATAGGAAATTATCCCTAAAAATATAGAGCTAAAATTATAGGCTATTTACAGTACGTAAATTCCTAGAAATAAGGAGAAAGATTCTATCCCTTAATTCTCGAAATTCCAGCACTCCCTATCAAGCTGGAGTGTAGATGCTTATTAAACCCAACTTTTCATTAAGATCTTCAAACATGCTTTTGTTTAGGCTTCTAGTTAACAAGTCTACAACTTGTTGTTTAGTGGGTAAGTAGCTTATACACACTTCTCCTGAGTCGACCTTTTCTTTGATAAAATGACAATCTATCTCCACGTGTTTGGTACGCTCGTGATGAACTAGATTGTATGCTATACTGACTATTGCTTGATTGTCACAATACATCTTCATAGGTATGATATGTGGTATCTTTAGTTCCCCCATTAGTCATTTTTATCCAAATTCCCTCATATATACCATGAGACAAGGTTCGATACTCTGCTTCACCACTATTACGGGCTACAACGAATTATTTTTTGCTTCTCCATGTTATAAGATTACCCTATACATAACTACAATAGCCACTTTTAGAACGTTTTTCATTTATTGAAACTGCCTAATATGTGTAGATTTCCACATAACAACTAGCTATTTTCTTAAAGTGTAGACCTTTAGTCGGAGTTCCCTTCAAATACCTCAATACTCTGTACGCATCTTTTAAGTGTTTCTCCCTAGGAGTGTGTATATATTGGCTGATGACACTCACACCGAAAGGAATATCGAGACGAGTGTGAGATATGTAGATGCGTTTTCCTATGAACCGTTGATATCTTATCTACTTCTTCTCCATCCTCATCAGTGCCTAGCTTTAAATTGAACTCCATTGGAGTCTCAGTAGGTTTGCAACCCAACATTCCAGTTTCTATTAGTAAATCGAGAACATATTTTTTTTGAGAAATAGAAATACCTATTCGAGACCTTGCTACTTCCATTCCAAGGAAGTATTTGAGATTTACCAAGTCTTTAAGTTCAAATTCGGTGCTAAAGAACTCTTTTAGCCTTCTGACTTCACTTAAGTAATCCCCTGTTAGGATAATATTGTCAACATAAATGATAAGAATAGATCATTTATCATCTTCTAAGTGTTTTTAAAACACAATGTGGTCTGCCTGCCCTTGAATATAAGTCTTGCTGGTCATAGCCTTGGCAAAATGACTAAACCATGCATTTGGGGACTATTTTAGCCCGTATAAGGACTTCTTTAACCTGCACACTCCACCCTTTTCTTCTTCAATTCATGGTGGAAAATCCATATATACTTCCTCGTTTAATTCACCATTGATGAATGCATTTTTTACATCTAATTGAGTCAAGGGCCAATCAAGGTTGACAACAAGAGAAATGAGAACATGTATAGTATTAAGTTTGTCAATGGGAGCTAACGTCTCATCGTAGCCGAGGCCATAGGTTTGGGTGAAACCTTTTACCACAAGTCGAGCCTTGTGTCGATCAATGCTGCCATTAGGTTTAAATTGTATGGTGAAAATCCAATTACAGCCTACTGTTTTCTTTCCTTCAGGCAGATCCGAGATTTCCCAAGTTCCATTATTTTTGAGAGCACTCATTTCTTCCATTACAACACGCCTCCATTCGGTTGATTTAAGGGCTTCTTTCACACTCCTTGGAGTCTATACATGGTCAATATTAGTCACAAAATTCTTGTAGGACTTAGATAAATTTCCATAGGATACAAATCGAGAGATACAATGTTGAGTGCAGGCTCTTGTGCCTTTACGGACAGCAATCGAAAGATCCAATAATGGAGAAGCAAAATATACCTCTAGTATAGAACAGTCCTCGGGTGTGGATGAGATTAGCACTGCAGTGTTAGTTTCAGGAGAACAACGACTCCAAGAATATACAAGGAGTTTAGGAGCATGTTGTTTTTGTTTCTCAGGAGGTTATGGTGTTTCTATGGAAAGGTCATTATTGGGAATGATAAAGTTATTTTCCTGCTGCTATGTGGGAGGAGCTTTCAAATTGAGAATTATAAGGACCTGATGGTTTTTAGGATTTTGTGTGACAACAATGGTTAGAGTAGGATCAGAAGGAATAATAAGAAGTGTATTAAGGGTCTTATCTTCCCTGAAGATGAGTTGTTGAAAAATAAGGTTTGGTTTCAAAAAAAGTGACATCCCGAGAGATAAACATGTGATACAAGGTTGGTGAATAACATTTGTACCCTTTTTGTGTAGGAGAATAGCCGATGAAAACACATGTATGAACTCGAGGATCAAGTTTAGACTGGTTGGGTTGATGGATATGGACAAAGTCTTTGCAACCAAATATTTTAGCTGGTAGAATAGGAACACGAAATAGTGGGAAAGCCTTTTGAAGGGTATCTAGAGGCATTTGAAAGTTGATAACTTGGATGATATTCGATTTATTAATTAACAAGCAGTAAAGACTGCCTCTCCCCACATATATTTTGGGATATTCATGGTAAACATTAGGGCTTGAGAAACGACTAGAAGGTGTCTATTTTTCCTTTCGGAAACTCCGTTTTGCTGTGGTGTGTCAGGGCAAGAACTTTGATGTATAATGCATTGGTCAGAAAGATATGGACTTAAGATAGAGTTGAAGTATTCTCTCCCATTATCTATGCGGAGCGTGTGTATGGTAGAGTTGAATTGGGTTCGAATCATTGAATGAAAATTTTGGAATATTTTGGGTGTTTCAGATTTTTTTTTGAGGAGATAAGTCCAACAAACTCTAGTATGGTCATCAATAAAGGTTATAAACCATTTAGCTCCCGTAATATTTTTCACTAGGCTAGTCCCCCATAGGTCACTGTGTATCAATGAGAAAGTTGTGATTGGATATGAGGTTTTAAATGATATGGTACACTGGTATGCTTTGTTAATTGGTAAATTTCACACTTCATGGAATTTGAATTTTTATTTTGAAATAACAGTGGAAGCAGGCGTTTTAAATACAAGAAGTTTGGATGTTGTAACCTACGGTGCCACAACATGATGGTCTCCTCATTTGAAGTTAATAAAGCCAATCCTCCTTGTAAACTATTTTTATTGTCATTATTCCATATGCAGAGTCCTTCATCAACCTTAGCAATGACAATCATCCTCCTTGATTTATGTTCTTGTATAACACAACCTAGAGAAGAAATTATACAAGTGCAACCTTGTCTTTAGTGAGTTTACTGATTGATAGTAAATTGTAAGATAAATTTGGAACATGTAGGACTTTCTCAAGTGAGAAATTTCTGATAAGTTGAACTGCTTCAATTTCAGCAATGGGTGAGTAGGAGCTATCTGCTATTCTAATAAGGGATTGATTGTGGCAGGGGGTGTAGGTGTAAAACAGGGACGAGTTACCTGTCATGTGATCAGAAGCACCTGAATCGAGAATCCAAGAGGTTTGATTATTAGATTCAGAAGTAATATTAAGTGCAGTACCTTGAATAGCCAAGGATCCATGGGCAGTTGATGTACCAAGTATCTTATGGAGAGTTTCAAATTGAGATTTGGTTAGACGAACGTCCAAAACAGTTTCAGCAATAGTAGAAGAAGATAAGGTGTTGGATTTGGAAAAAGTTTCCAAGATTTTTGTCATGGGAGAAAGACAAAACAAGAGAGATTTCTAAAGAAGAAGAGTATGATTGAAAGGATCCTATTGCTCTGATGCCATGAACAAACTTAGAAAAAAAATGTTATTTCTTATCACTCCTCTATCAACAAATTACAACTTATAAGAAATGGTTAGTACAAAATAGGAAATTATCACCAAAAATTTGGAGCTAAAATTAGAAGCTGTAGTTAAATTACTAGAAATAAGGAGAAAGATTATGTCCCTTAATTCTCGGAATTCCAACACGATCTATCTATTCACTATAAACACACTTGAAATAATGTTTATCCCCAAAACAGAAAACGTAAAATATAAAAAAAATCTAATACTGAAGTCATAAAATCTTTAGAGGCAACATATTTTTATGAGATCACCTGAAAAATGTATTTCTAACATCAACAGCCAACTTGAGAGTTTTTTTCCCTTTCAAAAAAATGAAAAAATGAAAACCAATCCACAAATGCAAAATCAGAAAGAACATGACATGACAATGTAACGAAAGATATCTGCAGCTTACTCTACGCTGCCCTTTGCACTCGGACCGTTTTCAACAGTATTTCCTTCAGGTCATCACAGCGGCTGCAGTGATAATCAATCCAAATGCAGAGCTGCCTGATGGCCTCCCTCTTCTCCTCCCCTAGACCTAATATACCTTGATCCTTCTCTTTCATTGCCCCCTCCAAGAACTCCACCTTATTCTCCAGCTGCTTCGCGGTTTTCAACAGATTATCCTTATCCTCTTCTTCCTTATTCGCCTTAATCTGTAGCTTCTCGACTCGTTCTCGTAACATAGATCCTTGTTCTTTCTGAACTTTCAGCTGCTCAGTCAAATTAGTCTTTTTATTGATAAGCTGCTACTTCTCACTCTTTGTTTCTTCAGCCCAATGCTTAGCAATCTTCAGCTCTTCTGATGTTTCTTCGACACAGTGCTTGTACTTTCTATATAGCCTTGTTCGAATTTCTGGATGAAAGCTTCAAATCCGGTCAAGGTATTGTTCACATTCTCTGAGATATCGGTGATCATTCTGTGATAGGCTTCCTTGTTAGCAGCAATTATGTCGGACAACGCCGTGATCCTTTCTTCAAGCATTCTTTGTTCTTCCAGGAACTTGGCTTCTGCCTTCCTGAAGCTCTCTTATTTCTCTGTTAGTAACTGCTCCGTGAGTCGAAGTTTTTGGTTCGACAAACGGAGCTTAACTTCAATTGTGCGGACATTTTCGGTGAAAGTACAGAGCTCATCTACTTTCATTTCTAAATCCCGCTTCAAGTCTTCGATAATTTGCTCCAAATCAGCTAGCGCTTGGTCCTTGCATTGAACACTCTTATCATGCTCTCCTGCCATTTCTTGCATTTTCATTTCTGTGACCTCGATAATTGCCTTGTAATCTGGCCCGCTAAATTATTTTTATCATCTCTCTCTGCTTCCAAATCCCTTTGAAGGTCGTCAACCATTCGCTTCAGATCAGCTGCCATCTGACTTTCAGATTCAATTTCTTCCGACATTTCTCGTATCTTCCTTTCTGCAACTTCAAGATTTTCCTTGCAATCTTGGTATAAGCACTCAACATGTTGGCATTCCTCGGTCAACTTCTTATATGCCTCTCCCTGCTCCTCGATCATTATCTGTTGATTGTTAATTTGACTTTCTAGCTTCAATTTTTATAAATTTCTAACGTAATTAGCAACAATAGCAACATTTTACATCTGCATATTATAAATACAAATAATCAATTCAATACGAAAATATATGCATGTATGTACTTAAAATAAAACAAGTGAAACAAAATAAAAGTTTATATGTATAATTGAATTAAAATTAATTTTTAATCAACATAAGTGTATCAAATCAAAATTTATGTATTATATGGGACATCGGTGTATAAATTTGGTATTTATACCTAAATACAATAATTGATCATTTGATCAATTATTTTTAATTCATTAAATAAATTGATATATTACTGGTTTAAAAATGACATAATATCAAAATTAGTTCCCAATATTTATTAAAATGGTCATTTTGGTTCTATTCATTCTTTTAAGCATTTTGATCTTAATGTTTCGGTTTGAGATAAAAAAAACCTTTATAGATTGAATTTATTAGTTAACACACTATTGACGCTCTTAAATAAGGATAATTTTATCCTAAAATAAAACATTAAGGGTCAAAATGCTCTAAAAAAAATAGAAGCCAAAATGATAATTTTAATAAACAATGGGAATTAATTTTGATATTATATCTTTGAAATCAATGAATATAAATTATAAAACTAAATATGAAAAAAATCTTTTTTTTTTCTTTAAAAAATAATAATGAAAACACTGTGATTTATTTGTGGAAAACAATGTCCTGGTAACAGTTAATTTGGTATTTATCCGTAAATAAAATAATTGATCATTTGATTAATTATTTTTAATTCATTAAATAAATTGATATATCATTATTTTAAAATGACATAATATCAAAATTAGTCCCGGGTATTTATTCAAATGATCATTTTGACCTCTATTCAGTTTTTGAAGCATTTTGGCTATTAATGTTTCATTTTGAGATAAAAACCTCCCTTTATAGATTGAAACAGTTAGTTAATACACTATTAGCGCTCCAAAATAAATGTCATTATATTCTGAAATAAAACGTTGAGGTTCAAAATGTTTTGTAACTATTTTGTCATATGTTAAGGGTCTTTTTATTCTAAAATAAAACATTAAGGGTCAAAATGCTCTAAAAAAATAATAGAAGCCAAAATGACCATTTGAATAAACATTCATAGCTAATTTTGATATTAAATCTTTGAAATCAATGAATATACACTATAAAACTACACATGAATAAAAAATCTTTTCTTTTTTACAAAAAAATAATGAAAACACTGAGATTTATTTGTGGAAAACAATGTACTGGTAACAGTTGAGAGAACGTTATGTTCCTCTGAAAATGAAAGAATTTCAACATTTGTAGTGAAAAAGAAAAAGGATAAATGTCTTTTTCTTAGATTCTAACAATCAACTTCGAGACCAACTCCTTAAGATGGTCACAGCGGCTACGGTGGTACTCTATCAACAAGCAGAGCTGCCTTATGGATTCCCTCTTCTCTTCTGCACGGCTCACCAATGCCTCATCTTTTTCTTTGATGATCTTCTCCAGTTCCACCACTCTATTTTCAAGCATACTCACAGCTTTCAACAGCTTCGGCTTCTGTTCTTCTTCCTCGTACAATCTGGCTTCTGAATTCGAGACCAAATTGTTCTCCTTATCCATTTCTGCCACAAATAAATCCACATTGCCCTTCAACTTGTCTTTTCGGTTTTTCTTAGTAGATACAAGCTCTCCCATGGCTTTCAGAATGCGGGTTGCGGGATTTTCATGGATTTGTAGTTTGTTCACCATGAACTTCGAACGAGCCGCTGCGTCATCCTTAAGCTTATTTAACTCTGTTTCACAAGTGGCAAGCTTCTGCTTCAGTGCTTCGTTTTCTTGCTCTAGCCTTTCTTTTATGTTGTTGTAACTCTCTTTGTTGTCATAATGTATTTTTTCAGCAACCGCGATCCTGAGGCTCAAAAGCGTGATGTTATCGTCGACTTTCTGGTAGTACTCTTGTGCTAAATCCTCCATCTTTCTTTCTAGGATATGGTAATTAGGCTTGTTTCCTTTAGACAATTGTTTGAAAAGCTTGGAGTTGTATATATTTTCCTCTATTTCTTTCATCGTTCTCTGCTGATCGGAAATCTGCAACTCCGCGTTTTTATCCATGTCCATGGGATACATCCGAGCTGTTTCCTTAACCCTTCTAAGCTCAAGGCCCCTCTCTTTAAACAGTGCTTCCAATTCCAGGATTCTGGAATTCAGGTGATTATTTTCCTGGCTCAATCTATTGATTTCATGAATATAACTCCTAAACTCGTCTACTGATTTAGTTTTCTGTTTGCGTAGAGCATCCACCTCCGATTCCAAGTGCATCACCTGCACCTGTAACCGTCGGTTTTCTTCCACCATTGTCAGCTCAAACGCACTCTTTCTAGCTATTTCCTCTTTCAGGGATTTCACTTGAATCCGATACCGGGATATTTCCTTGGATTTCCTCTCGAGTAGAATCTCTAATTTGGTTTTCTGTCCATGAAGGGAACCGTGTTCCGGCTTCATTACATTTGTCATATCAAATGATTCACTGCTTTCACATGTTACACTTCCTCGGGCATCGAATTGTTGGGCACGTAAAAGGTCCACCTCCTTTTTCAGATTGCAGACCTGTACCATTGATTCGCTAATTCTAGATTTTAGATTGTTTTCATTATCTTTGATTTGCTTCATGAGTTTACTTACTTCATCTCCTTCATCCGGAATCTGCACATACATTGCCTTATTTTTCTCCCCTCGCTGCTTGTTTTCAGCCGTCTTAGCATCAATCTGAACTTCCAAATCTCTTCTCTCGTGCTGCAAAGGTTCCAGCTCAGTTTTCAAGCTAGTTACTTCATCTTTACTGAAGGTTTCTGTTTCTTGTGTTCTACTTGAAGCGGCCATATGGTCCGAAGCTAAATCTTCTTTCTCTTTGGTCCTCGAGGCAAATTCGTGCCTCAGGTCCGTATCCTCTCCATATGCCCATTTAAGTTCTTCCTTGATGTTGTTGTACACCCATCTAGGGGAACTTCTATTGTTATCAAATGCAGTGTCTGTTTCGATTTCTACATCCGCAGCGGAGTAATATTCTGATTCCGAGTCAGAAGAATAATAGGGATAACTTCCATCTCCTTTCCCTTTGAGAGCTTTATCACTGGACTCTAGTTTAAGATGTTCGTATTGGGCATAAAGTGACTGGTAGTGTCTGTGGAAGTCCTCAACAAGCCCAACGAGTTCCGGCTCCTTTTTCCCGCTTTCCCTCTTGATGAGCTTCAAGACTCTGTTCACTTTCCTTTCAACATCTGCAAAACGAAAAATAAAATAACATGGAAATCTTGAATCTGATACATCATCATCAAATGAAAATCTAAAGAAGAAACTGTTAAAATTCTTACATCAGCATCAAATGAAAATCTTACAGCATTGAATCAATACCACAAACACCTATCAAGAGATTTGACAGAGCAATTGACATCAAACAATTACAGCTACATAAGGTGATCAAAGGACTACTCATAAGTTGACAAACATAATTCATTTTTCTTCTTTTATGGTCCATGAAGACTTATCCTTTTCGGAGTTCATGATTGTTCCTTGTCTCCAAATTCGAACCAAGGAAGTGGAATGTGCCTTATCACTGCACCAAATACTTGCTGGTGACAGTCATAACTCGGTTTTCCTTTGTAGGGTAAAGTAAGGTTAGGAAGTGATTTCCCAGGCCCCTGATTTGGCTGAAACATATACATAATTGGAGTGGATGGATATATACGGCATGCAATACAACTACTTGAGCATGGCAATATGGGATTTTAACTTTTGCAAACATTGTCTTATGCTTAGTCAAAATGGATATAAAATGCTCATCGTTTTAAATATGTACCCATTAAGATTTACATTAAGAAACAAAAAGGAAAAGCTTATAGGCGGCTGATAAAACCTATAGAGATAACTCATTAAAACAAATTTTGGATACACTCAATAAATTACTGTGAAAATGTTTCTATTATGGAACTCATGCTATCTATGTATCTCCAACATATCAAATGATGATAATAGATCATAGATGGTAGCCTGAGGATATATATCAGCAAGGTGCAAATTTGATTTTACACCTAAATTAAAGTGAATTTTTTTTGGGGTTGGGGGGTTGGGTCCATCGTCTTCTACAAACCTGTTTTAGTCACTTCCACTTGCTCCATTGTTCTGGACTTGAGTATCAGGGTAACCCTTAGAGGTCTTTTTCGGGCTGTATTGCTTCTTCTCCAACACAAAATTTGCAGCGAGTTTAAAGAGAGAATCCCTGAGCAAAGAAATGCTTTCTCCATCTCAAACACATCAAACTAAATCTCTGAAACCAAAGGTGACATAAGATTAGTAAATTATTTTGACATTGCCACATTCAAACATAGCAAGTCCTAAATCAAGCATATCCTCAAAACAGCTTGGGCATTCCCCACACTTTTTAGATGGTTTACCCTTTTTTTCTCCTTCCCAACCAAAACAAAAAAATTGCATTTCATCATAAACAAAGTTGAAATAGAAGTAAACTGATTCATCATCTGCACAAGGACTGCTCAGCAGGCATTTATCCAAACTCCTCAAAATTCAAACTATGGCAAAATTGACTTTGAAAAACAAGTAACAAGGCATACCTGTCAAAATCTTCCCAGTACATTCTTGACCTAACTGCGTTAAGAATTCATTTATTAGAATACAACCTAGTCAAAATCCTTGGTAGGGGATGTGAATTAACCACCCAATTTGCCAACTCCACCCTAAATAAAGTCCATCTATTTTTTACTATTCAAACTTATAATAATTGCATCAATCCTACTTGATGAGAGCAAACATAGTATTGAGCTTGTCATTCAACAATCCCTCTATATTCAACAGTGCTTGTAACCAGACTACTTCTGAAACCGCATCAACAATCCCTCTATATTCGGCCTCTTTTGTTGATCATGACACCGATATTTTCTTCTTCGAACATCATGAAACAAGACTATCACCAAGATAAACATAGTATCCTGAGGTTGACCGCCTATCGTCAACGTTGTTGGCCCAGTCCGCATCAACAAAAGCGTGTAGACTAAGTGAGGTATTGACCGAATCATGTAATACAAGGCCATGGCTCAAAGTACCACTAAAATACCTCAGAATTCTCTTCACGCCTACCCAATGCATGTCACAAGGTTGGTGCATGTATTGAGCTACCCTCCCAATGCTATATGAAATGTTTGGCCTAGCGTGACTTAGATACAACACTGCAACCACTATGTTTCTATAAACTTGAGGATTATCAAGCGATCGACCAACATCTTCTACCAATTTTGAGAACGTTATTTGGAGCAGGCTTTGCATTGACCATATTTGTTTGTTCAAGTAGCTCATGTATGTATTTACTTTTTTTGAGAACTAACCGCCCACCACTTCGCTTAACTTCGAGCCCTAAGAAAATATTTAACTCATCAAAGTCTTTTAGCGAAATTTTTTGACTAAGCATAGTCACAACTTCCTCAATTCCTTCATTAGATCCTCCGGCAATAACAATGTCATCGACATATACCAAAACATAAACCAACTCCTCACCATTAACCCCGAGTAAACAACAAGACATCGACTTAGATCATTTAAACCCAATGTCAAGCAAGAATGAGTGAAGCTTAGAATACTAATTCCAAGGTGTCTACTTCAATCCATACAATCATTTTCCAAATTACACACCAATTGTGTTCCATTTTCTAGCTCCTCAAATCCCATAGGTTGAACCATAAACACTTCTCCGTTGAGGTCGTCGTTGAGAAAAGCATTATTCATGTCACATTGTTGCAATTTCCATCTTACCGAACAGCTAACAACAATACAATATTCACAGTGAAGGGCTTCACAACTAGACTGAAAGTATCATGAAAATCCTTCCCAGGAACTTGCTCAAATCCCTTCGCAACCAGCCGTGTCTTATATCAAGCTATCAAGCCGTAAGGATTTTTCTTAACTCAAAAATGCCATTTACATCCAATAGTCGTCCGCTCTGCAGGTAATGGAACCAGCATCCAAGTATGATTCTGAATGAGAGAATCATATTCTGAATGAGGCAACGCAAATACTTGATGAGTTGACACTGTTTCTTCAATAATTGCATCCATTTTTAAAGCATGAAATGGTTTAGGCTTTTGAATATTCCACGTTTGCTTCGTGTAACCATGAGGTGTCGATTAGAATGATCTTCAACAGGGACAACATGAGAAGTCGAGGCTCCATTCAACTCATCACTCAATGGCACAACCTTATCACCAGTACTTTGTCCTCTAACCAAAGCATCTCTCACAACACCATCATTCACGTAAGATTGGTCTTGGTCTAAAGTGGCAGGCACTTGTGAACCTGCACTACTCTCCATGATGGGCAAACACTGATCTACGCTAGTAGCCACAGGAGCATGCCCATGCAAACCAACACCACACTATGACACTCCTCGTGCCTCACCTCCATGATCAACATTCCCTAGGACCCTCATAACATCATATACAACTCAAATGCTAGCATTGACATTTGACTCCTGCATATCCTTGAAAGTATTTCTTTCATCAACACAATAATCTGTAAAATGAAAGACGTTTTCATCAAATACCACATAATGAGACATGTAAACACAGTCATCCGATGCTAGGTAAAAGTAACCTTTGTCATGTATAATATAACCAAGAAATGTGCATGGTCGGGACAGTAAAGAAAACTTGTAAGAATGAAAAGGACACAAGTAAGGAAAACATCAACACCCAAAAACCCTCAAATGATCATATGAAGGAATTTTCTCAAACATTTTCTTAAATGGAGATGCACCATGCAATACTCTTTTCGGAAGACGATTAATCAAATGAACAGCAGTTACCACTGCATAAGACCAAAATTTTAACAGTATCGCTGTCTGAGCCAAAAGAGAGAGAGAGAGAGACATATCAACAATATGGTAAAGCTTACGTTCCACAAACCCATTTTGCTATGAGGTATGAAGACATGTTACACGATGCAAAACACTTATTTCTTGAAATACCTTAGAGAGTGAACTAAACTCTTATCCCCAATAGCTTTGGACTTCTTATATGAAACTGAGTTTGAACTATTTTTTAGAACACAACAAACACATTCGCATCTTGTGATTTATCTTTTAACAAATAAATCCAAACAAGCCTAGTATATGCATCCACAAATGAAAAATACTATAGTTTACCTTGCCATTTAACAACCTTGAATCGAATTCATATTCAAAATTAGACAAACAAGTAGGAAATGGGCATGGAATTCTGTTAAACCTATATTTTGATATAACAAATAAGGGCAAAATGTTTTTGAACTTAATTGAATTTGTTCAAATGATTCAAAAATAATTCAAAGTCCAAATTAACTTGAAAAATATGTTTTAAATGTTTTCCGACTTTGTAACACAAATATTCTGGGCTAGTAGTTTTGGGTTTACCCGAGAGATAAGTGGACCTCGTGAAATTCATAAGTAAAGTCACTAGGCTTAATTGGGTTTGGGCTTGGGCCCAATTAGCCTTAATAAGATGGTTTTTGAATAGTGGAAAGATGGAGAATGACCAAAAGCGTAATTTTCCCATTTGTAAATACGAGGGTTTTTATATCCCATTTTGTCACTTTCTCTTCATTTCCCTCTTTTCCTTCTCTTCCACTTCTCTCATTTCTTCTCCAAGAGCCAATATCGAAGGTAAATTGTTTGGGATATTTCTCATTTCCTTCAAGCTTTATTTTCGTTCATAATCCCTCCATTAAACCATTAGTAATATTTCAAAGCCTTGGGTTTTCTCTAGCTAAGGAAAAGTGGGGGTTTTCACCCAAATCACCAAGAAAAAGAGTGTGGCTAAGTAAGAAGCTCAAATTCGGGATTCAAACTTCAAGATAGTGTATTTCTAATCCTTTGGAGTATTAAGTTTTCATATATCACAAGAAATTACTAATATTTATGTAGTTGAATATTTAGGGTTTCACTTTTGATTCATGTCATAAATCACGAATTTGTTGTTTAGTATGTGTTTTATGACACCGTAAAACCCTAAATAACTACCCATAACATTATTGCATGATCTAGAATCAAACTATGACCTTTAGAATGAATTTTGATTGTTTTTCGAGCATAAAATAAGCCATTCTGGGTTCGAGTATCGATACTGGGATGAACAATATCGATACTGGATGAATTGGGTAAAAAATTAGGGATTATGGGTAAAGTATCGACACTGACAAGGAGAGTATCCATATTGTCGCTGCAATATCGACACTCAAGGTGAAAATATAGATATTGAGGCCCCAATTTCGTAACAAAATACATTTTTGGTACCGATACTCATAGGAGTATCGATACTTGACCCTAGGGTATCGATACTACAAGTAGAGTATTGATACTACTCACTTTAGATGGTCAGATTTGACCCGTTTAAGTTTCGTAAGAGCTAAGGACGATCCGTAATAGTAATACTTAGTCCGTGAGGGACAAAAATAACCAAGCATACCTAAAAACACTCGTAAGAACAGGTTGCATCAGGTGTGACTATATTAAGTGTAATACACCAAATTATCTTCAATCGAGGATATATACGGATAGTTGGGACTGAGGATAGTTAAAGGAGACATCTGATATGTGGTATGATGAATATGTCAGATTCAGTGGTAGCGAAAAGTATGACCTTTGAGAATGTCAGTGAACTCAGGAAAAGTAAGTCTTCATTTTCAGTTCAAGAGGCTTTGAAGGGAAGTACGATAAGGTTGAATAGAGTACCTCTACTCAGAAAAAAAACTGATTCGGATAGTAGGCTAGCCATTTCCTCAGATAATAAGTAAGCTTTCGTATAACGTTCTAGATGAGAGAACGAGTGAGATAACATCGAGTGTGATGTTGACCTCACTTTAGTGAGGCCAGCTATGTCAAGGTTTACCCAAGTTACCATAGTTGCCCTAGTATGGCATTGTTAGTGAACGAGGTACTTCAAGGGCTAACTAGGGTGTGAGGCGTGAATATTCATGAGTGGGTTAGCGATGTCAGTGTCATGTGGCCTGCGGGCCTTAGATATGCATGGGTAGTTACGTTAGTTCAATACAGTCATGTAAGCTTCCGATGAACATAAATTCCTTCGATCACACCACCAGACCTACCTCGTGTATGTTTATGTAAGTTATGGATTAC